GCATGGGTTCCCCGGGTAAAAGTCAGCCTTATTTCAAAAAAAATTTTCTCATGATATGTTTTATTAGATTTTTTTTATTAAACAAATATTATTAGCAATGAAAGTCTGAAATTTTTGTAAATAAATATTTGCGCGTTGGAAGCTCAACTCCTWMCAGAATCATCTAAAGTGAAAAAATTCGTATTTAAGTTTAAACTTTAACTTAAACGAAGGGAAAAAAACTGAATATTGGATTTTTGGCAAACATTTTTAAAAAAAAAAAAAAGAGAAATTCGCGAAATTTTTCGAGAAAACAAATTCTCAAGGCTGTATCTCTGAAACTATTACTCGGATCAACTTGAAAATTTAGCACAACACTCCAGAAGGGTTGTAAAATTTAAGAAGAAATTGAAAAAAATCTATTTTTTTCATATTTTAGCAGGTTATACCTTTAGAAATAACATACTGAATACCGTTGAGTAAAATTTTCGATGACTCATTCGAGTATATCGACTGGTAACTGGTGCATAATACACGTGATATTTTGCTCCAAAGCCTAAATCGAAGCGGGATTATCAGCATAGACTTYAGTCTTTGAAAATCCTCACAGAAAAAAGTGTAACGGTGTGATATCAAACGATCTTGTGGCCAATCGAGCAGTCCAAAACGTAAAATTATCGTAACGGTTACGTTCTCATCAGCACCATTTTTGAAGAAATATGGGCTTATCACTTCACCGGCCGATAAAACGACACCAAACCATTTTTTTCTGGAAGAAATAGCAGCTCTTGAATYTCTTAACSTTGCTCTTCGTCCCAAATGMAACACTTTTGTCTTTTATATACAMATTGAGCYGGAAATTGGMMTCATCGCTAAACAAAATCTGGCTCGAAAAYGTCRTATCTTTTTGGAACTTTTCAAGTGACTATAGAACGCAGCGATGTCGCTYGTGAAGGTTGAGCARCTTCAGTTCTTGCTCATACTGTATTTTGAACTCTTTCAATTGAAGATGTAGGCGTAAAGTGTGCCAAGTCTCCCTATACGYCAGTCCGAGTTGCTGCGAACGAATTCGAATCGACTCCCCACGGCCTTCGTGTACACTCTCAGCTACGGCTGCTATATTTTCTTTACTGCGTACTTGACGTAGTCTATTTGATTGAATATTATCCAATAATGAATGATGGATTTCAAGATGGGTAATGGTGTAGCAAATAGTATGGTAGTACACATTCTTTACAGAACGTGAATTTTAGTAATAATAAAGTATACGTTGTTTAGGCGTAAGTCTTTTCACGAAGAAATGCCAAATGCTATTGAAAAAAATACCTCTACTTGGATTAACCGTTACATATATATATTTATATATATTTTATTGGGTCTCTAACATCTGGATATTACAAACTTAGTGGTAAACTTAATGCACCCTGTTCAGGGTATATTTAATATTCACGTCACATTTAATATTTTCGCCAAGCAAAAAAGGCGCTACTAACTTCTAAAATAACCACATAAATCATTTTTCAATTTGCATACAAATTCATAAAAAATATAACTAAAATCTAATTTCCTTAGAAAATTAACATTTTAGATGAATTTCCACACTAAACTTTTCAAGTCTGTGGACGAATAAATTGAACGGTAGTTCAAAAACCATTACCGGTACACACTTGGTTGATTTTCCTTGAGGGCACCTCAAGCGCTGAAAATCCAAGTATTTCCGGTAGCTAAACAGGCGTCGTTTTTACACTTCCAACAACTTGCGGTGGGCTAATGAGCACCTACAAGCATCTGCAAACAATCACAAGATGCCGGCAATGCGCCATAAACTGCGAAACATATATACGTACATAAACAAAAACAACAAAACCTGCATTTAAATAAGTGCTTATAAATTCCTAGAGTCGTATATTTTCGACTCTTTAACGAGCTGACAACCTGGCGTGTTGGCTAGATGGCTAGCTGACTAGATGGGAATATGGCTGGCTGACGGCAGACATCAGTCAACAACCTAAACTCATAAATTTTCCAACTCGCCCAAAACGATTCAGCACTTTTGAATGTCGGTTGACAGTTGAAATAAGTTTCCAGCAAATACATATTAATTTACAAGCGTACAATTACAAGCAAAAATACAGATCAAAATTTTTTATTACTGTTTTCTTTTTATATGCAACAAAGTGTACGAAGTGCAGAGCTGGTAGACATAAAGTAGAATTTCTGAAAGTACCACAGCAAGAACGCGTACTTACATATTCTGCAGCGAAGCGTTTATACTTGTATATATGTATGTATGTAGTTAAATTAGCGCGTACATACACTTGTTGCTTTGGCGCACCCTGTCACGTATGTAGAAATTTAAGTATGTATATATATATGCATGCGGGCGTATGTGAGTAAAAATAGTATGACGTTAAACGGCAATTGAAAGAGCTGGTATCTTATGGCACACATGTGTTACGAATAATAATGAGTCAAATAAAAAACTGTAGGAAAAGGTAAATGCAGCAAAAGAAGCGTCGCCACGTCCAACTGGCGTTCTGCATGGATAAAAATATTTCCAATCAGGAAAACACTGCCGCAGAAGAATTGCGAATTAAAGACAAAAGCACATACACACTCAGTACCTCGTTACTTGTTTCGAAGTTGCTGTTCGTATCTGTCCCTTTTGGGGATCATTGACACCGCACTATCACACAGTGTTGTTGTTCTTGCTTTTTTACTCAAAACAAATCGAATACTTTTACGGAATCAATAAAYGCGAATTTTCAATCGATTATTTGTTATTAACACGCGCATTGAACGCAACACGTAGAAATGTATGTGCATAAATAAAAACCCAAAGTAACTGTGTTCTTGCCGAAATACCATGGATCGTGAGGATAATACTAAGATATTGCACTTCGGCTTATTCGTTTATGTTAATGAAACTCACATAYAATACAAACTATTAAACTTTTTAACATTCTATAATAAATTTAGACCCATTTGTATCAATTAGGAATGAGTAAGTAAGGAGTCTTCCTCCTCAAAGYTACCAAGTACAGTATCTAAAATACGGAYCTGCCATAGTTTTTGTTGTAGTCTCTCGACGAACAAAAACCAAACTCTATAAGTCACTCATAATTCCCGTCCTGCTATATGGTACAGAGGCTTGGACGATGACAACAACTGATGAGTCGACGATTTATGGCCCTTTGCGCGTTGGCCACGGTGAATATCGCATTCGATGGAACGTTCAGTGGTATGAGATATATGACGATATTGACATWGTTCAGCGAATTAAAAGACTACGGCTACGCTGGCTAGGTCATGTTGTCCGGATGGACGAAAACACTCCAGCTCTGAGGAGGAAGCCGAGGAAGACCTCCACTTTGTTAGAAGGACCAGGTGGAGAAGGGCCTGGCTACGCTKGGCGCCACGTAGCGAARAAGCGACTGGCGCGCTGTTGTTAACTCGGTTATAATCKCCTAAGCGGTGTCTACGCCAATTAAGAAGAAGACGAAGGTTATAGGCAATTCTGAAACTATCGTAGTCTWGATTAAAAGACCTTTGGCATATATGCCTTCCATGCTCTGACACGGATATGCGACTCTGAATTAAAAAAATATTAATTGCGGCCTGAAGAGTTGAAGTCGGAATTACCTCAATTATCGGTTTAATGGACTGCTCCAATTCAATGAGATATCTGGGCTTTGTTTTGTACATCTCTTGATTAACAAAACCGCAAAGAAAAAGTCTGGTGCAATCAGGGCAGGTGACCTTGGGGGCAGCGGAAAATGGAGTTTCTTGATGTTAATTTGTTTTAAAATTTTGGTGGAATTCCTCAATAACCCGTCTGGCTATGTATGCAGATGCTCTTCCTGGAACTAAACATTATTGAAAGATATACTCCTTCGGCGTGGTTGTGGATTAGAAACCTCATTCAATATCTTTAAATAACGGTGCCCATTGGCCGATATTGTTACACCGTTTACATCAAAATGGGCATAAACAGACATGAACAGGCAATTTATCAAGTTATTATTTTCTTCGGCCCTTTCAGTAACTTTTTGGCAAAATTGCAGACGAATAGGCAAATCTAAAAGGTTTAACCGGCTTGTTATTTGAACTTTGTACAGAAATAGGCTTAAGTCATAATGAATTATAAACTATCTTTGGACGGAAATGACAGACTGCAAAGCATGGTATCTAAACAATTCCTATTTTAGATATCCCAACCATTCATTTTAAAAAAACTTAAACAATAACCCGCCAAAGTAAGTTGATAAAGGTAAAAGTAACTACAAAAGTTATTATGGTTTGATCCGAGTATCCTCTTCTGGGCCGGATATAAATCCGTTCCGTTTACATTTAAACGACTTGATGAGAGACTTTTTAGGATGGAATTCAAAGAAGCACTTCTGCTCAGGTGTGATCCTATATCAATATAGTTCTTCATACACTGACGTTATTACCATGGAAGGCCAACAACAACTAAACTTTTGTGTAAAATTCAGCTTGTTTTCAGTGTCTATTTCAAGATAGATGAAAGTGAACCAAGCCTGTTTACTTTATAACTAAATGAGAAAGTGGTTTGGAAAGCACCAATAAGTTCGATGAAAGCTAGGTTTAATCGTTCACATATCACGCTTGGTGCAGAATTGAATACCTGTACTTTTGTTAAATATTTCGACGGCTTCTTTTCTAATCCTCTTTAAGGAACCACCCTTAAGTTTTGCGAAATCAGTTTAATGAGTGAAAGTAAGAATGACAATGTTAAGTGAATAACTTATTACCCATCGTACTGATTAATCGAAAAAATAATAAAAAACAAATTATACCCTCCAATATAAGGAACTAAAAAACATGCCCCGGACATCCACTCATGTCTTTATTGTTCCTATAAAAAACTCAATAATGTATTGAAGCCCCCTACGATTTACTTACATATTCACTTACTTAGCTGAAACATACATATTTTTATAATTATATAGAATTTTGAATTAAAACTAATTTAATAAAATACTTTTCACTTTTTTCAGAAACAAAACTACAGACATGAAAAAAGAACGGCGATGGCTGCTCATAACGGCGTGTAAGTACAACAACTGAAAGAAAATACTAAAATAAATGCTGATTTATTAGTTCTAATTTTAAAGTATTTCAATATACGTAAGGTTCAATTTTTAAAGTTGAAATAATAAAATTAATACATATTTCAACAGATCCTGCTAGATTTGAAAATCTGTTGAAGCTCTCATTGGGTCTGTATCTTCTGATTTTTAATCTTTTAAATATGGAAGTTCTAGTAGTGTTTTAGCACTGCATCTTTAAAATAAATGTATTTGTTTATTTTTTATAAACCTTTTGCATTTCAAATTCTATTTCCAGCTCTGTTAATGCTGGTGACAGACATAACAGCAGTTGCGCCTTTTAAAAAAGTTTCAATTGCTACAACAACTGCCTCGACGACGACAAAAACAACAACAACAACAACAGCCAGCTCTACAAATGAAGCGCCGAGCAGTGAAGCCACAGTAAATAAATAACAATAAACTAATTATAATTAACAAATTTATGCATATTTATAAAACATATTAACATATTATATTAATATTAATACTTTTAACATGTTTAATAAGTAATGATTTCTCATGGTTTCTCCCTATTTTATTTCAATAGATAGTATTATTACTTGAAAATATTAACTTGATTATKTTCCCACAAATACCTAACTATGTACTTTTAATTGCAAAGTTATATTTGATTGATTGACCTTGTAAAATATTATATAAATATACATGTATATATATATGTATATGTATATATGTATATGGAGGTGTGTACGTAAAAATAAATATGCTTACATTAATATTTCATCACACCTAGAAATTTAATTGACTTTCATATTTCTATGCTCGTATGTACATACATACTGCTTTTGTTCAGTTTTTGTTTTGTGTGCCAATTTCTTCATTCTCCTTTTATATACATCTACTAATATAGAAGTCTACGTTCCTTTCTTCACCTAGGTGGCGAAAGTTTTTACTTTTTTCACTTTTAAAGCCAAACATTCTTTTGAATTCCGCTGTTATGTATTTAAAATGAGTAATACTTCGAACAGTGGCTTACACTCACTGCTAAATATGTTGGTGGTCCCTTAAGTTCCTAAAAAATAAAAATATAGAAAAATGAGAATCTGAAAATATTAAAAATCGTACTTGAACTATGTCGATTTTAGCATTTTTTGTGTGTTTTGTATTATGAAAAATAGTATTCTTTGGACCATTACTTTTAGAAGGTGCAGTGAAAAGTTCAACCCATTCGAAAAAATTTGCTTAAAGACTCTGTAGACGAACTTTAATAATAAACTAATATCACATCTGTTTATCAAGTAAAAATTTGGTTACCCCTAGCATTTTTTCCAATAAAAATATATACATCGTTTTCATTTTCAAACTTTACTTAAAAGAAAATATCTCATAATTAGAGAGCTCCACTGTTGCCGATAGCCTTTACAAGAAAAAAAATTCTTGAAGACTGCTGAATTTCAACACTAATCAATTTCTATATGCCTACTTTTGTAGTGACTTTTTTATAATTTGTAGAAAAGTAAAAAAGAAAAACACCTTTTACATATTTAATTCTGACCCAAGTTCGTGGYTTAAGTCTTTTGTAATCRGCAAGTAGTATAAAAATCCACTGATAAGTTGTATATATTTCTTATATTAGCTGAAACCAGCAGTGCTATAATGCATTAAAAAATTAGTTTAATTAAACTTTAAATTAAGTTTGTAATGCCGAAAATTTTAATTAAAAATAATTTTCAAAATTTTTTTACCAAAAACAGGGTTGAAAACTTAAAAATAACATTTTAAGTCCAAGTACAGGATAAAAAAAACAGAATGCAATTAAAAATTAAAAATTAAAATAAATTTGAATTTATATTTTTTCGTGCTTCTTCTTCCTAGTCCAGCATTCTGAACTAGACTCGTATAAAGCCAACATCTTCAATACTCTACAGTAGTTGAGGCACTTTAACATTCAATTATGCCAAACAATTTGGATTTAAAATTAAANNNCTATGACGTCACGTTGAATGACGCACTCAATCCGACGCTTAAACCGCTTTCGCCGCATCACAGCAATCATCCGACGATTCACAATGGCGCTTTTGAGCATGCATACGCATCGGAGACGGGCGTCGGTACATTTGTCAATAACAATAAATCACCCACACTCTATCACAATAACAATAACCATAACAATAATCAATATCAGCAACCACCACCACAACAACAACAACAACAATACCAACAACATAAACATCTACAACTAAATGGTTATCAAACTAAATCACAAATCACTCCATCTCTTAGTCAAACACCACAAACCCATTTTGAACCACAAACAAATTCCAAATCATTACAAACTCAGATTCATCATCAGACCGAACATTTGCGTGCACAACAACAACAACAACAAAGTAGACAACAATTAACACAACAACAACAACAACAGCAGCAAAGTGCCTATAACGACTACAATAGTGATGATTCGTATTTCTCATCAACAGATATCCGAAGGCGCGCGGTCGTTGCAGCGCCACAGCCGTATTCCTCCAGCCGAACGGACTACAGAGGCGTCGGCATGAGAATAGCCCAACATTTCTATGATGATTTGGAATACTAAAGGTTAGCAACAAGCGCAATTATGTATTCATCATGGCCAATTTATCCATACTCACATACATAATTGACTATCCTTAATACATACGAAACATACATGTTTGCATRCATGCGTATGTGTGTTTGTATGTATATAAGTAATGTATGTATGTATGTCTTCAGAGCATTCTAATGAATTGCAAATCATTTTGCATGCTTTCAAAAATTATTTATTCAGTACTAATTTGAGATCTGCATAATTTCGCATTTCACTCATTTATCCATTAGGTGCTCCTCTTCACCATATCTGTATATGTACCTGTCTCTTATACACATCTAACAATTTGCAACCCTGGCTTAAACAATTTGTTTTTAATGATAATAGTTTTAAAATTGCCTTTAACATAAATTTAAGTTTAATTCGTGTTAGCGTCTTAGGTAATTGTCTTATTTATTAAGTTATACGTTCCATATTTAGATTAATCGTTTTTTATTACGATTATTTTTATTTTTAAGGAATATAAAATATCTATTTTTACCAGCCTTTAACTCAAATTTCAGTCTGATACTTCGGCGTCGGGTCCAACGAAAAACTCCAAGCTAACTGGCATACCACAAATCGATTATATCTGGGATCCAAATTTACCACGCGAGTTGCGTGGGTAAGTTTCGCGCGCWTTCGCACTATTTCTACCAAGTTTAATAACATTTTCTGTATACTAAATTCACAGTTACAATCTGTCGAGCTATCCATTCTTCTCAACTGTGCCGCCAGAGGACGATATTCACTTCAAATGCGATGGTCTGCATGACGGATTCTACGCTTCCATTGAACATAAGTGCCAGGTAAGCTCAACAATATGGCACAACATAATTATAAGTGACCTWCAACTGTTTGTATGTATGAGTTAGAAAGATATTTATGCCAGTATGTATGGAAAAGTTATCAAATGAGCGATTGCTGATGACCTTGACCCATTAACTTTACGTGTGAAAGATTTACATATGCATATGAGTATGTTTTGTTGAAGAAATATTGATAAAAAACAACGAAAGCATTAACATTAAACGTTAATTCATTGAGGTAATAAACAAATCTCTTTTAATTTTCATCATCACAGTGATTTCATTGCTTAATAAGACAGCAAGCTTTAGGTAAAGAAAAACCGAAATTATCTCCAAAATAAAACGGTATGACTGTGGAGCTTAACAGTATTGGTTTGCTGAAATAGCACTGGTTAATGTCTAGTAATTTCACGCGTGATTTTACAAATTTCTCGAACTTACCACCAGCGGTCTGTCGCTTGCACAATAAAGCAAACACAAATCTGTGCAAATATATCAGTTTATACTTAACTGTTGTTATGCGTTCACATAAACTTAGTAAATAATAAAAGTACAAATTTGCCTGCTGTCGTTTCGGTAGTTGCTAACYCGCTACTGACTATGTCCGAAACAAGCTAGCATGTTGATCTTGACCTCAAAATTTGTGTACCTGTTCACACACTGTTTTTTATTTAGTTTGTTACCTTTCWTGCTTGATTGTTGTTTTTAATTAGGTATTTTGCTAATCCGAATATATTTYATATTTAATCATAACATCGACAGGTTTTCTATTTTTTTTCTGATTTTAACGCTGAACTTGCAATATCGTATCAATTTTGAGCTGGASTAGATGAAGAATTTTCACGTTGACAATATCATTATATAATATCATTTTTAAATTCTCTCATATTTGGTAAGTAAAAGCACAAAGCTAATAATTAAAAACGACATTTCGCCACTTTTTTTGTCGATTTATTTGGGCTCTGCTCTCTTGTAAAAAAATCTATACAAGTATGTGGAAGCAGCAATAAAGTAACCAAATAGGCTTTAATRTAAGAGAGTGAAAGGATGCCTATGCCACTATACCAGTTGCTTGATCCTTTGTTCAGTCTGTATTATTGGCTTTTAATTTCTTCAACAAATCGATTTATGCACAGGTTCTTCGAAAAGTGAGCAGAAAAATGGAAACACACAGAGCCGAATCCATTAAATAGTTATTGACTAACTTTTTTGTGTTCTGATGCATCCTCTCGTGATGTTAAACATGCAAAGGGGAATATTTTATATCTATAAAACTAATAGTTTTGCTTTTTGAGATTCAAAAAGTTGTTCATCACCAAAGAAGATGTTTTCTTCGTATACCGTTTATTTCGATTTCTACCAATTTGAAGGTAAATTCATAATRCCACTTTCATAGAAATCCTGGTCTCTATTAGCAGAAAACTAGAAAAGTCACTTGGTGCCAGTTCCGGATACATTAGAACCTTTTAACATAGCTATCGCCAGAACCTCGGCGGGTCACGATGTTCGCTCTGGCGATTCCACCAAACTCGTAGCGAAATTTTCTTGACTATGAATCTTGGCTTGGCCACCGTTTGCGACAGCTCTTCGCGATTCGACTATGACCGTTTTCGCCATTATTTTTCGTCACCAGCAACCATCTGCTATGTTCTTTTTGCTTTTTGCCCCAGTCGCTCTTCTTTTTTGCTGTTTAGCGTCAATTRGATATTCCAAGTGTAGCCTGGTCCTTCTCCACCTTTTCTTTCCAACAGAGTGGAGGTCTTCCTTTTCCTCCTGCTCTGGGAGATCCTTCCTGATCCTTACGGAGTTTTTCGTGTTGCCCATGGTCAGTTTACGACATACGTATAATTGTTTTGCGGAGATAACAAATGCAGACATAGCGGCAGTGTCTTTTCGTGGTGGCTTTTGATATATGTTGTTGCTCTGTTCACTTGTACTTATCCTTGACGCGAGCTCTAACAATACTGAGTCAAGCAATCATAAAACTGCTTGAAAATTTTTTTAATATAGAACCTTATCTTTCTAACTTTTTCCCGAAAATGAATGGATTCSTTCTTATTCCTCCGATATAGCAATCAGATCTATATATACCTATATCTATATTCCTCTAATGCGTTTGTTCAATTACAGGTATATCACCACTGTGTTTATGGTATCAGACATGATTTTCTCTGCGCCAATTTTACAGCGTTTGATCAGCGAACATTTATTTGTCACTTTGTGTCTGATGTCGATTGTGAAGGTTCGAAGAATTATTGGAATAGGTATATAAATTAAACTCTAAATATGTCATATATCTATAATAGCTGTAATTTAATCACAGAAATGATGATCTCTACATGGCCACAACGCCAAAAACGACGACAACAAGCAGTACGGAGGCGCCACCGCCAACGCCACGTAGACGGCTGGTAAGACCTTTGCGACCGTTAAGACGTCCGGTGAATCGTCGCCCGGTGGATGATTATTACTATGATGAGGAGGAAGAACCGGCGGCAGTGTATGAAGATGATTATTATGAGGAACGTTTGAATCGTCGACGCAAGCCACGACCACGACAGCGGAAGCCAGTGACAGATTATGAAGAGGACTACAGCGACGATAAACCAAGGTAAGAAGTGAATAATTAATAAATATTGAACACATGCCGTAATCGAGCTTTTTCACTCTCTGAAGGCGTCATAATTCGCGGGATCGTTTTCGCGATGAAGAGGAATTAGAAGAGGATTACGATACTGATCGTCGCAAATATGATAGACCCAATACACGAAACAAAGCGTCAGATCGACGAAAGATTGGTGGTCGTAAGTCTACGACAGTCGGGGGTCGTTTAGGTGGCGACGAGCGTCGCAGTTTAAGTGACGACCGTGTACAGTCGGGAAGGAAAGATAAATCACGCATTACGCCATCAGCAGATCCAGTTGATGCGGTAGATCCACCACCGCGTCGTTTAAATGGACGACGTAGGAGTAATGAGAAGCGAACATCGGCCGCAAACAGCGATGACTTGGATGATTTYGAAAAGCGACCAGCCAATGCACCCGATCAGGAGGAGGCTGCCGAAGAAGAAGCACCACCTAAAGTAAAAACGACACCCAAACCATTGGACGAATTTATCACACCRAAGGCGAGTAGTAGTTCTGTTTATGCACGACCACGAGCACCTCCACGTATAGCGCGTCCTGTACCGCTGAATGAGAAGAAAAAGTTTCAATATCCCATACAGAAAACTGGAACGACTCCCAGTCCCGAAGCCACACACGCAAGCGAAGATGACTACTATGAGGACGAARTCTACGACGATGTACGTCCACAACGTGTTCCACCACGTAGACGCGTTGTAGACAGTAAATTGGATGAAGAGGTAGAAGCACCCACTTCGAAGAGACGTAATCACAATGATACRCCCTTAATAAAGAAGCCTTCGCGTACAACGATTCGTCGACCTACAACAGAGAAGAAACATGTTTCCACTGCAGATGAAGAATACTACGAGAGTGCCGTTGGCGCATCTGATGAACCKGTCGACAGTCATACTACCAGTCGGAAACGTCCTTATAACACGAGAAATCGCAGTTCATTTGGACCCGCCGTTGGTCGTGGTGCTGAAGATGTCGACTTTGTCGACGATGACTACGAAGAGCGACCACTGCGGCCGGCGCACCGGTTAAGACCAAAGGCAGCCGCACGCAAAGGTACTAAAAAACCGCGACGTCCGATCGAAGAAGAAGATGTTTATGAGGACGAACATGAACCTGAACCACAACAGCGTAATCGTGTAAGTGTAAATCGCGCTCGTATTGGTAGTAACGCACGTTTGCGACAATCCACAACGAGTACGACAACAGCGGCACCAATCGAAGATGTCGCATCTGATGGTGAATTAGAAGAGGAGGAGGAGGAGGAACCATCGGCACCCGCTACATTRAGCAAAGGTTCCGGTCACTCACCCACGGGACGCACTGCAACGGTACGTGTTGTGAAGCGTCCATTTTTACCATCGCGCGGTGGTAGTCCATACCTGCCACGTGGCCTACAACCGGTTGGTGTGGCTCTGAAGCCACTCAGCTCGCATACAACGGACACTAGCCCCATCGATATGGGTTCCACAATATCCGGTGTGCGTCTACTCGAACATGGTGCACCGATATTGCGTGACTCGGGTAGTGCTTCAGGGTCCACGTTAAGTAATTCTCACTTATATGACACAAACGGATACGAACGCGAACGGGAACGTGAACGTGAACGTGAACGTGAACGTGAACGAGATAGAGAGCTACATATAACGCAAACTCATCGCACTACATTGCCACCGCGTAGCGCATTGCCGGCATCGCAGGCGCGACCAGAGCCTCAACCTAAAATCACATTAGATGAGCTCTACGAAACCGACTATGACGTCACGTTGAATGACGCACTCAATCCGACGCTTAAACCGCTTTCGCCGCATCACAGCAATCATCCGACGATTCACAATGGCGCTTTTGAGCATGCATACGCATCGGAGACGGGCGTCGGTACATTTGTCAATAACAATAAATCACCCACACTCTATCACAATAACAATAACCATAACAATAATCAATATCAGCAACCACCACCACAACAACAACAACAACAATACCAACAACATAAACATCTACAACTAAATGGTTATCAAACTAAATCACAAATCACTCCATCTCTTAGTCAAACACCACAAACCCATTTTGAACCACAAACAAATTCCAAATCATTACAAACTCAGATTCATCATCAGACCGAACATTTGCGTGCACAACAACAACAACAACAATACCAACAACATAAACATCTACAACTAAATGGTTATCAAACTAAATCACAAATCACTCCATCTCTTAGTCAAACACCACAAACCCATTTTGAACCACAAACAAATTCCAAATCATTACAAACTCAGATTCATCATCAGACCGAACATTTGCGTGCACAACAACAACAACAACAAAGTAGACAACAATTAACACAACAACAACAACAACAGCAGCAAAGTGCCTATAACGACTACAATAGTGATGATTCGTATTTCTCATCAACAGATATCCGAAGGCGCGCGGTCGTTGCAGCGCCACAGCCGTATTCCTCCAGCCGAACGGACTACAGAGGCGTCGGCATGAGAATAGCCCAACATTTCTATGATGATTTGGAATACTAAAGGTTAGCAACAAGCGCAATTATGTATTCATCATGGCCAATTTATCCATACTCACATACATAATTGACTATCCTTAATACATACGAAACATACATGTTTGCATRCATGCGTATGTGTGTTTGTATGTATATAAGTAATGTATGTATGTATGTCTTCAGAGCATTCTAATGAATTGCAAATCATTTTGCATGCTTTCAAAAATTATTTATTCAGTACTAATTTGAGATCTGCATAATTTCGCATTTCACTCATTTATCCATTAGGTGCTCCTCTTCACCATATCTGTATATGTACATATGAAGCAAGCCAGGCTCTCTATACTTACATATGTCAAATTGACTTAAAGCAATGCAAAATTATCAAAATGCAACTTTGTTGTGTACGCAGTATGCGGGTATTATCAATTGCTTGTTGGCATTTGACATAATTAACTTGCCTGTCGATTTTTTAAATAACAAAAATTATTATCTATAATTTAAATATGTACCTTTTCTTTCAATTTTACAAAAACAAAAACAACTACTGAACTTCTCTACTTTGCATTGTGCAACTCTAAGCTTTCTTTACCTGTTTATGAACAAACCATAAGGCTTCAAATAATAATTATTTTGCGCTCATATTTTCGCTCATCTTCGCTCATTACTGCAATATGCAATATCGTTGCTTTTTATCACTTGGTTCATAGCAATTATATTGAAATCAGTTTCCGTTTCGAAAAATACAAAAATATTTATGCAATAATAAGAATTTTGCTATTCATTCCACTTTAAGGTCTCTCTAGAAATGTATATAAGTGTATTTAATGACAGCCACACTAAACAGCACCACGCACACAAAACTCACAGCACACGTCCAACGACTTGATAACAAAAATCTTTGTATGAAAATATTCACACTCATCGTTTATACCTTGGAATSCAATAAAAAAGACTTATACTCCTCGAATAGCTGAATGTCAACACCTTGGTGAGCAAAATTGAGGGCAGCGCATAACAGCAGTTCGTCGGCCACAGGATATAATATGCTGGTGAAAACATGCGACGTGGCTAGTTGGAGCATCAAAAATATAAAATACATATGTATATGTATGTACATACACATGTATGTGTGCGGTAATAAGTTGTGGTTGACTGTATGCGTAAACTAAGCTAAAAACTTATAAATAATTAAATACTCAATTTTCGTGATAGCAAAGACAGAATTCTATAAAATTTTGTCACCTAAAATACATACAAACATAATTAAATGAATTCGCTTTTTATTTCTGTTTAATTTAGTTTTTTAATTATTGCGTACACACATTATACTAAACATATACAAAATGTCTGKTTTACTCGTGTTTTCGTTTAGTTTGTGCCCCTAATTCGCTAAATACTTTACTTATGCTTTGTAAATTATTTTGTACTGAGTTGAATGCAATACAATTGTTATAAAAAATTGCGTAATATTTTATAGTGCGAGATAATGTAACTAAATTGTTTCAAAATGATAATTTTATGTTGACAATTTCGAAAATTACACTGTTATAGTAATAGTAATGATAGGGTATTTTCTAAATTTTGGGTAAATATGCTTACTTTGTGTCGCTTAGCGTAAGCGAAAATTGAATATGAAACAAAGTAAAAGTGAAATTAAAATAAAGTAATATACTATAAGAGTAATGCCTGTATCATTTGCTTACGTTGAGTGTTATAACGGGGCTATTGTAGACAAACTTTCAAGGCTTCAGCTTCCTCCTCCAGATAGTCCAATTTCTTCATTAATATAATCTACAAAACAAAAACATAAACGAAACAATGTACGGTCACGAGATTTAGGCATGAAAAAGGAAAACGAATAATAAACGAAGAGTTTATCAGCCAAGGCCTGTAATTTCAGCGATCTAACCATGTTTGCGAGTTAAGTTTGGGATACTTGGAGCAAAATCTTGCACCAATCAATCTTGCTCAAAAAAAAAAAATCGGAAATTGAATTTTGCTTACCTTAGCTGCTGAGATAATTTCTTTTGCTATTTTCATTGGCATATGCTCCACGCATCTTACTAAATCAATAGGTTTGCATTTGGCTATATCTTCGACGGTCTTAAAACCCGCATTATAAAGTTGTTTCGCACGATTCTGCAAATAATAACAGATAAAATATATTTGCTTACTTAATGATTTCATTTACTTACTATTTTAACGGCTGGCAAATCAAGCAACGGTTCCAGCTCTATTGTGCCACAACGATCTAATTTTACGAGGACACGTTCGAAAAGTGCTTTATAACACCAAAAGTCATCCAATTGTTCACATAAACGCACTATTGCACTGGCACCAGCGGCTGACTGATTGATTAGCGTTTGCAACATGCCACGTTCCACGTTATAACGGGACGCTACTACATGTATAGGTGTAAGATTTAAAATATCCACCAAAATCAACACTTTATAAAGGCGATTTAATTTCACTTCTAACGGTCCTTGAACCGACAAGGTTTTTGCCATTTTAACAGCAATTGCTTCGGTGAAACCGAGTAGATGGCACAGTGCTTGTGTGGGTTCATCCAACAACATATATGCGCGATAAAGGATATTAGTGTCGGTTTGGAATAGTTCATCACCTTTTGAATTTGAATTAAAACTCACAACGAGATACAACAAGTGTGCATAGTTAGTTAGAATTAATTGTTTTTGTGCCAATTTYAACTCGGCATGTATGGCATAGGTCCGTTGATAGTCAATGCCAGCTTTAAAGGCCGCACGACCAATATTTGTCAGCTGGAAGCGTGTGGATTTACTAATGAAAAGCCGACGATGCTCCTGTGATGTACGGTTGGATGAATTTTTTACATCCTGTGTGGTAAGTATATTCGATGTATTACGTTGYGCAGCTGCCGCCGTTGAGCATAATTCCAAAACTTTATGCTTGAACATTTCACGGATTAGTTGGAGCACCATTTGTTCGGTGGAAAGTTGTAGTTGAGATGCTTGCACAGCTAGCAAAGTGCTGCCTACTAGACGATACAAATCCGAACGACAGGCGGCAATTTCCAAACCTATGGCACTTAACACCAAGCTCTGTAGAATTGTCGATTTTTATACAAGTAAATTTTAATTTTATAATTAATAAATAAAATTTTCACATACTTGTAATCCAATACAATTTTCATAGTCTAAAGAAGTGATGGCCTTATCCATTGGTGAAAATAGCATTTCGCCAACACGTACATTGTCACGGCTAGTTGCTATTAGAAAACTTTCACCAGCTTCGCCCATGCCGGCACGTCCAGCGCGTCCGACCATTTGTTTATAGCGACAGAGTGTCATAAATTCTGCTCCCACATAAGGCGCACGTATTATGACACGTTTTGCGGGCAGATTAACACCAGCYGCCAAAGTCGAGGTGCAACAGATGACACTTAAAACGCCAAAGCGATAAGCAGTTTCTATGAATTTCCTTTCATCCATTAYCAGACCGGAGTGATGATAGGCTATGCCATAAGGTATAGTCTTAGCTAAAACATCACCAAGCATTCCACACACTTTATCCAATGCGTCCATAAGATCCTGCTTTTCACGTTTGCGGTGTTGCAAAAACTTTCTACGTAAATTGAAATGTGTTAGAAATTATCTTTATTTTTTTAGATAAATAAAATACTTTGGTAAAATACGGCTCAACAGCAAAGCAACATTTTCACAGTTTTTACGCGAAGGACAGAATATAAGCACACAGTGTTCGGGTGCACATTCTGCCACCAATCCAGCCAAGTGATCTGGATCACAACGTGACATAGATTCACTATACTAWATATTGAAAAATGATAGTAAAATTATAATCACATGCTCTCTATAAATATATAATGCTAGCTTACTTTATAATCAACGCTTCGATTGTAAACAAATACTTCTTCCAACGTTTTTCCTGCTGAGTTTATCGCCAATATATCATTGCCACATTTTATATATTCTCTTAATTCCACTGGCCGGAAACTTCGTGTATATACATCTGCTTTTAAGAAGGTGGAAACCTCTGTTAAATTTCCAATTGTTGCASTCATTCCAACAATTTGTATATTAACTGTAGTAAATAAAACCATACATATAAATACGCCTGCAATTATAAAACATATTGATAAAGTACTTACCATCTATAAACATAATTTTGGTAAGCAGAGCCTCTAATGTGGCTCCTCGTCCTTTTTCACCTATCAGATGTAATTCGTCGACTACTACCAAACCTATTTCATCAGCGCGCTGTGCCTCGATTAAACTGTCCATCAAAACGGCACCCTTTTCAATAGACGCTATAAATATACATTTACGTTTCTTCCGTTTCATTGGTGGACATTTTCCCTTGCCGGCGGTATACTCATCCACAATAAAGTTCATGGCTATAGCGAATGGGGACATTGCACTGACCTAAATAGAAATATTTAATAATTTTCATGCCAATAATATATAAATTAGGTATTCGTGCTTAACCTTTTCTTGTACTATGGATACGTAGGGTAATATGAATAGCACATCCCTTTCGCGGCACAAGACTTCTCGTAGCATTAATATTTCAGCAACTAGTGTTTTACCACCACTTGTGGGCAAAGCATAGATTAGGTTTTTGCGCATATGAATGGCTGGTAAATTTAAGCATTCTTCTTGCCATTCTTTAATATGTAATTACTTTATTATTCACATAATTCCATAATATGTAAAACAAAAATTACTAACCATATAAGTTTTGTATTCCCTTATGTGCGAATATCATTTGTTTCACTCTGTCCGGTAATCCAAAAAAATCTCCTCTACTAGGAAAATTATTTTCAAGTTTATCAGAGAATACTTGCGAGTCCCAGTCCAGACGTGAAAGATTCGTCAGAACAGTCGCATTTGCGAAATCATTGTTTACCATGTATTGGCTTGCAGAAATAATAGTATTTGTAGTTTCTTCATTWTTTATTTTGTTTTTAATTGACGGTGGTGCATGTGGCACCTTAAATATTGCAACGTCATTTAAAAACCTTTGGGAGTTTTGTTCACTTTCAGTATCAATCATCATATCAGTGAAGACTTCATTTTCTTCATCTTTCGTCAAATCATCAATTTTAATATTTGCAAAAAATGTATCATCTATCCTTAACTGTCTTTGACTTTCATCAATTTTTTCGCTATGCAAATTGATCGTATTAAATATGCTGTCATCTACATGAAAGTTGTTACTGCTATCTGTGCTTATTATGGTGGCATTTCTCACCGGTTGTTCATTTGTGCTTGAGTGCTCATTAGGGCTACCGAAAAGCTCAAGTGGAGTTTCATTAAGTAAATTTTCCACCGCGGAAACGGTTAAGTTATCGGTGGTTGTATTAGAAAACAAGCGATTTGCTTCATTCTCATGCTGCATACTTTCTTTACAATTGGACATGACATTATCCAATACAGACTTAGACAAAAATGTGTCTTCTTTGAAGTCATTGATTTGGGAACTAACATTCGTCTGTACTGCAAGTATTGTTGATTCACAATTTATGTCCATTGTCATCTGTGCGCAAAACAAGCTAGTATCATTTTCAAGGGTCTGTAAAACCGAATTTCTCTTGTTTTCAAGTACATTAGAAACGTCTTCATAATTATTCGCAGAATTTAGTTTCGAAACTGTGAAGAAGCTGTCCTCCTCCTCATCTGACACAAAAAGATTTTCGGTTTGATGTACATTGTTCTTAAAATTTGTATTCAAACATTTTCGTTTAGTTGTTATTTCAGGAGAGCCCCATTTAACCTTTCGTGTGTTTTTCGACATTAATGCCAACAGTGTAAATTAAATATTACTGATAAAGAGGTTTAGTGTTATTTTAATACTAATAAAAATAAAAAATCATTACAATTTTCTTACTTAATTCTAGATTTGAATTTGCGCGTTTTTTTAATTGTATGTAAATAAAAAACATATGGAAATTGACGTATGAAATATTTGACGGTCATCTGAACACAGCTAAGAATGTACAGTGGTACCACGAGAAAATGTTCCTACTCCACAATAATTATTGTAACGGATTTCTGAAAAAATCGTTTACATTGCAACTCACTCTTGATTTCGATCACTGGATTATTAAAACAAGTTCCAATTTAATGCCACTTATCTTTATTTCTATGAATACCATAACAATGGCAAAGTATATAATTTTATTCAATTGTCTTATGATCTCACTAATGTGAACGGTAGTAAAATTAATCTGTGTTACCAAATCAATAAAACTTTCAAAATAAGTAAGTGCTTCCCATATTTGGTAAAATAATAATTTTCTTTGTCATTTCCTTTGCCTCTAAGTTTCCTATTTTACTGTTAAAATTAAAGTCAGCTGAATAATAAATAAATAAAAATATATAACATCTGAAAAATATTTAAAATATCCAGCAATTATTTTTCTTTACTTTTAAATAATTAAATAAAACAGAAATGACATCGAGAGACGGAGTTTTCTCAGAATTGCCGCCCAGTTTTGCGGACTTAACGGAAGCAGTAGAGAAAATCGAAATGCTAATTGCAAGGAAAAAATTGGTATTCTTGACCTTGAAAACAATAATTTCATYTGATTAATTCCAAAATTGCTTATTTTTTTTAGAAATCTAAGTTATTTTATGATATGCTATTGGGATTTCGTGTGTTGGAGGAGGCACTGCAACATAAGCAGTCGGAAGCTTATGAGCTGGTTATAAGATGGGCTAAACTATTTTTGGTAAATAAATATACAGAGAACATTCATATTTTATTTAGAAGAAGACATATGTCACAATTTTATACTTTTAGAAAATTCAGTTCAACCTTACAAATCAACATGATGGAATGCGCAGACAGTTTGAAAAAGTAGTGCCTCCCGCAATCACATACATTATTGGTTGTTTGCAATACAAAACAAAGGCTATAATCTCTTATCACTACCAATTATTGGAAATGATACATGAGTTATTATTTAACCTACGACCGGGAGTTCTCGAAAACTTGGCCACATTCGAAACCGGTGTTATGTATGTATATGTTTGTGGCTCCTCGAAGTTAAGTTAATAATTCGTTTGTGCGATTTACAGAGCTTGCATTTGGTTTCCCATTGGATTTGTCGGCGATTTTAACACACAATTGTTGGCATTGCGTTTAATGACAATGTTATTAAAATGTGTAGATCCAAAGCGACTGCAAAATGARCTCAATAGTATTCGTTGCGCAGACAAATCAGTTTTAAAAGATAAATTAACTGCTGCCATAGCTGTTGCTAATTTCCATACTGCGAAATTTGAAAACGTAATATGAAATGTTTATTTAATAATGAATTTATGATTTTTAGGTATTCGCGTTTAGTTATTTGAAAACAATAAGAAAATCCCAATAATTTTATATAATATTAAATACAAATTTAATATTTTTAGACGGCAAGGGATCTTTTGAACACTTATAACATGCATTTAGCAAAAAATATTCTAGTTTATTCATTTCGTTGCAAATCATTCAAGTTCGGAGAAAATATAAATTTTTTCAAGCCTTTGGTAAGTTACTTATATCAGGAGCATAATACATTTCAATAATTAATTTTTCGTAGAATGTAGACAATTTTTGGATAGACTTTAATTACTGTCCACGTACCCTCTCGTTCAGTGGGCGTTGCCAAACAAATACCAAAGCAATATATACAAACTGTTCTGCGAGTCTAAAAATTACTAAATTATCGCTGTAAGTTCATATCTTAACCGATTTATAAGTAAAATATTTTACTTATTAATTACTTATTAAATTTAATCTCTAAACAATAATTAGCAATAACTTAACACTCACCGTGCATTTTCAAGCACCAGTACAAATTTTTAAGGAAACTAGTGATTTACCTGATATAAGTCACATTACAACAGCTAAAATCATTATACCAAGAGATGAAGCTATGCGTTTATTGGAAAATGAATTTATTTTGAAATACTTTAATGAATCCCCTCTGCCGAATCTGCACAACAAAATTTCATCATTTGTTAAACCCCATAATATATCCACACCACTTTCAAGTACTGAAGATGCCGAAAAGGCGATTGGCAGCAAAATAAACAAAGGCAGGAATGATTATGACAACTTAGAGAACAAGGAAAATATTTCACCTGAAGAAGGAATTACAGGTAGAAATGAAGAAATATTAGTTAATAACAGCAAATCCGGATTAAGTAAGAAAAATGCAACAAATATTCCAATATTTTCTTTATATTTTAGACATTAGAAGCGGAAAGTCAAACAAGAAGACAACTTCAAAACAATTTCAAAAAAGTTATGAAATTTTAATAGGTCTACCTAAGAGTAATAACGAGAAAACTAATGAAAAACGCAAAGTCAGCAATACAAATAATAAAACAGCTAATTCCACCGAAAATTTTAATTTTCAGCTACCACATTTACCAAACTTGCAAAAGGAATTTGATCATGACCTGTCAAAAAATACACGTAATCGTAGTACACAAAGGAAAATAGTTAATTACTCAACATCCACTTCAGAAACACAAACTTCTTCACAAATATCTACAAACCCTTTGAATGAAAATGCCAAAAAATCGCGGAAACGTTTCTTTAAAACTCAGAACTACAACTCCGACGCTGATTATGTTCCCAACAAAACTAAACGAGTTTCACGCACACGAAGTACCAGGTTTGTATTAAGCATGAACATTATTTGATTTACTCTTTCGTTTATATTATATATTCGCATTATATATTTAATGCAGAAATGCAAAGCAAAAAAGTTCTAATACATCTATAAATAAGATGAAAAAAATTAATGAAGTTAAGCCCATGTTATACTCGAACCAAGAACTTAATAAAATTGATGGAAACATATGTACTAGTCACTTCGCTGTTGAAGTTAGTGCTAATTTAAACCATCATTTACCAAATTCGACAATAGTAGAGGAGTTACCTAATTTAAATACGAATATTTATGAGGATTTCACCGTAAGCGATGCCGAGCCAGGGAAATCATATCGTAACTTTAGAATTCGACGTCATCCATTTAACAATGAGAATACCAAAAATGAAGTAAAACGACCTAGAAATGCATTACCGCGTGGTATTAAAAAAAAAGGACAACTTGTCGTTACCAACCTCAGGTCCACCAAACCCAGTGCAGAGAAAACGCTGGTAAGTATAAAAACTCAAAGAAAATAAGAAAATTTCTATTTAATATATAGATTTGCAAAAACATACAAATATGTTTTAAATAATCTATATTACTTTTTGGGTATTTGAATAAACATAAAACATTATTTCTGGATGTCTCTTTAACTACTAACCACTTCACACATACATATATGTATGACCTAACCTATTTTCACCTCGATATACTTAAGAGGCCCAAATTCGCAGCATATTGCAGGAGTAGTTTTATATGCTTTGAAATTACTTCATGTTTAACTTTTTTAACTAATTCTTAATGCTGAGAACTGTTCAAATTTAACTTGATTTAATTATACCCAGATCGTGGTATATTAAGGTAGTCACGAAGTTAGTAACATCCAAAAGGAAACGTCGGAGACCCTACAAAATGTATATAAAAATTATCAACATGMTATTTTAGTCCCCCAGTTTATGAGATATCGATCTGAAATTTTGTATCTACCGATATCGGACCCCTAYAGCATATAGCTGCCATACTAACTAARCGATCGAAATCTAGTTTTTGTTCAATAACAGTACTCAACAAATCTGTAGGAAAAATTTACGACCGTTATGCTACGAGGTCTGTGAGATATTTGAAGTGTCCTGATTACGAATTTGAGTTCAAAAATTTGTCATCGCGGGCAGCTATTTTTGCAATATTTTGTTGTTGTAGCGACAGAAAACATTCGTKAAGTATTTTCAAGGCGTGGTGCTGAGTTGATGGTCCTTGGCGTTAAAAATCAGAATCCGTTCCGGTTACTTAAAACCGGCTATTTTTTTTTTATCACAGTGGAAAAATGACTGTAAACTAGTGTATTTATTAATTTAATTGCAGTAAGGTGATTTAGTTTTTGTGGAAATCATTAATATATATATATATGTATATAATTCCAAAAATTTAGGTCTGTGTATAATACTTATTTTTTCATAAGGATCCATTTGATGCAGCGAAAATTTTAAGGATAACCCAATCAAAAGTTCAACAACCAGAAATAGTAAAACTCATAAATAAAAATATAACTTCATCGGAGATAGATATGTGCCTGACAACACAGCAAAATTTAACCGATGCTGTCGGTTGCAAACGAAAATTATATAACACAGAGGCACTCAACAAAGAWACGGCTCTGCCATTAGGAAATATTGAAAGAAACGAATGTGAAATACCCAAAACAGTRCCAAATTTGCCTGCGCCAGCAATTGGTACTGAATTGAACGTAGAAGAGCAGGTTGATGATATTCAGGACTGCCGTCAGGATATGAGCCAATATGGCATTAATAACAACGTATCCGACTATGACGAATTTAGTGATTTTCCGACTTTTCCCACTTTGGATATCTCTGATATGTGTCTATCGCCTGAACGTCAATCGGATAAAGATTCAACGCAAAAAGCAACATCACAAACGGGCACTATCCACGCGCTGCCCACTAAATCAAAAACTCCAGCTCCAATGGATTRTGCAAGCAAATTGGAGTCGAATAAAAGTATCATATATTGTTCGCGATCTGAAAACGATAGTGATAGTGAGCAATCCACATTTTCAAATAACAATAGAGAATTATCTTTAACACGAACTTTGGAACTGCCTTTACAAAGACAGCAACATGTGTTCTTAACGCCACAATTACCGTTGCAAAATTTTCGAAAAACCACAAGCCTTACCAAATGTCAAGTTACCAACACCGGRACGTCGGTAATCACACAGAAAGATAGTTTTATACATCAGCGAAAATTTTTAGTAAATTTAGCAACTTCAACGAATGCTCCGCTAAATCTATCAAAAGCCACCTCGAGGATTACTGCAAGAACAACAACCAAAGCCGTGGTTGAAGAAAATAGCCAAGTTAACGTGAATAGTCCCATACAAAGAAACAAAAGTTTTACCGCACCAACACCAAAAGCACTCTTACAAGGTATTTTATGGTTGAATAACTTTTCAGAATATCTTATAAAATGTTATGAAAATTATATTGTCAAATAAAGTTTACTTTTCTGTTTAAGAAATTCACTAAGATATACTTAKGTTATACCCTAACGTCATCTTTATATTACAGAGTCTACGGATATGATTGCCTCTTATAATAAAAATTTAAATATACACTTAGACCAGATTGAGACCAGTATCGGTTCGAATTCAGCCAATGCATATATTGAAAAAATTTGCGATATTGGCGAAAGTATGATAAATGAAATAGAACGCGAGCGCAAATCACTGTGGGAACTTGAAGTCAACGCTGAACGACTTGCTCGTCAACTAGGTTGGCAATATGAAGCTTATCAGCGAAAACACCAGCAATTTCAATGGTAATTTTTTTATAAATTAAATTTTGAATGCATATAATATTATACTAATCACAWTTTTTTACAGTTTTAAACAAAATATTGACGATCTTTTACGTATATTAAGTAATATAAATTTATCGGAAGAAATTGAAAATGATGCTAAGCATAATATTGAGAAACTGCTCCAAACATCTAACTATATAACTGGCCAAGAATGGCGGAATTTCGTAAATGAAAGCACAGAAAAYTTGCTTAAAGATATATCTTCATTGTCCAATATATAGAGTTCATGTTGTATATCTTTAACATTTGAAGAATTAATAATCAATAAAAAATTTGCAGAAATTTAATTTTCGTATTTGTTAACAATTAACTTGAACATAAACAAAAAAACGGCAAATCCAGGCCAGTTTGTATTGCAGCTGTAGGCTATAGTGATCCAATCTGGATAAAAATATCTTCAGAGTTCATACCGTTGCCTTGGATATCAATCCAATCCAAATCCAAAATCTTCCATACAAGGATCTGATTCCGATCGTTCATTATATCCTATATTGGCCCGATATCAGCGGATCCAACAAATTAATGGCTTGTAGGGAAGAAAAAGAGGGTTGCAAAATTTCACATCGTCGGCTCCAAAAACTGAGGGACAAGTTCAYGTAAATACATACACGGACAGAAGTACAAACGCAAATAGCTAAAACGACTCAACTCGTCACGCTGATAATTTATTTACATATGTATATATTCTTTATACGGTCTCAGACGTTCCCTCTTAGGTGTTACAAACATTTTGACAAACAGGATACATTGTTAAGGGTATACAAATAAATTACATTTTAAAACCAGTAAACGCTATTTTAGAATTTTTTTGCAACATTTCATATAATTTTATTAATACGAAATTTTAACAATTATTCGTTTCTTACACTTAGCAACTTTAATACCTCTTCTTTATATCTTCCCAAATTGTATTCATTTTCGCCTTCATTTATTAGCAGCTCTACGGTTTGTGCAAAATCTTGACTGACTTTCAATTTCGCTTCGTCGGTAGGTATGCCCCAATTTATTATTGCTTCTGCCGTTTGTTTTGACTTATTTCGTTCAAAACTATAATATTCCATATCTGCTTCCGATTTGTTATGTTCCCATGGTTCAGTAACAAATGATTCGTGATAGCAAGCAGTTAACAAATACATTGCATAATCATAGTTTTGTTTCCTCAAAGGACATCTATCCGCCACAATTGTTAGTATACCGGTGTTCGGGTTGTAACGATCACCAACTAAACGTAAAAATTTATCCTTTGCATGTGCATCAAATTTCAAATTTGACAACTTAATATTCAGTGTTACACGTCGAGCATCTGGATTGCGTATGGTGGGTAGAGCATGACAGTAATCTGTACTTTTAACTTCGATAGGAAAATGTTTTTCCCATTTTTCCGCGGACTCTAAGCCTTTAGGCCATGGTGTACAGAATTTTTTCAAAGCTTCACATTGTTGACGTATGGCCGGTGGGGTTAAATGTAGAAAATTTGGAATTTTCATAAGCTCCGCATTGGCGAATTTAGATGGAGGTGCTGCACCCTTTTCTGTGTAACCTTGACGCAAAGGCAGCGGGACAGTACTTGGTTGAAATGTACGTGGTCCCGGCCACACAGCAGTCCAATCCTGATCCGTTGCCATTTGGAGATGACGAGGCGGCAGCGCTGCTTCTTTTTTGAATACACGACGTTTCTGTTGATCTRTTTTCTTAGCAGCACGCAAGTTGAGTACACGAAATTCTTAARTGAAAAAAGAATAATTTTTATATATGTTTTACTTTTCAAACTGATTGACGATTCTAACCTTCGTCGTTAAATTCATGCTTAGTGCCAGCTGCTGGTTCCTCTTGTGGCTGACTGTATAGCCGTCTACTTGCTGCTGTGCTGGAATTACGTAAATTCCTCTCAAGCAGACGTGTTAAAGATGCCATTTTCTCTTACAATTGACCGTTCGTAAAAATCGTTAAACTATTTAACTTACAAGTTATGTAGTCATTAATTTTTTCAGTTAAATTTGCTAAAAATTAATGCCGTAATAAAACTAATGGCACTCAAAAGAAAAACATGACAAAAGAATACCAGTGTTGTCATTTTTACGATTCGAAAACTGTTGCTTACACCTTATTGGAGATTAACGCTTATGACCCATTCACATTCAACTTTCGGCGCTCCCTGACAATTTATATTTTAACAACGAAGAATAAATAGGGCATATCACAATGAACGCATTGCTTTCCGTGCTACTAAGCCAAAAAAAAATGGCAACAAAGCGCATAAAGATAASAGTTACTCAAACAAAAGCATCCATCGAACTTTGCTGTCAAACCAAATATCTGAAGCAAAGCGAAGCGAAAGTTCTATGTGAATTACCCATATGATCCAGTATTTGGGTTTCTGAACTAACTAATATATATATATATATATATATATATACATATAACTATCAAATAAATAAAAGAACAGTAAAACAAATATTTTTAAGCATTGAGTAATTTATCAATTATAAGTCGTTTAGACACTTTTACATATGGGAGAAAATATCCGCTATTGCCGATAACCCTATAATTGTTTGCGCAATAAAAGTGCAGAGTATACTTCATCAGCTGTATCAGCTGTTTCCTCTTATCAATGTTTTATTGTGTTTTAAAAGAATATGTCTGTACATGTACATGTGCAAATAATAATGTGTGAATAATCTCCTTCACGATCACTAAGATTTGTTAGGTGTAATTTTTAGCTTAGGAAAAAATAAAGGTATACAAATCACAAGAACACTAAACTAAAGAGTAGTACGGGATAGAGACAATTTTTTATTATTAAATTGATAAGATACAACAAGTGCTATAGTATGTGAAATTATCAGATTTTGCAGCACGGTACTCATAAATAAAATTCTATATATACTTTCTTATTCTCAAAAGTCGTTGATTGTATCTTACTCATAAGCTCATATATATATTGGACTATCCATTCGCAAAAGTTGTTAGTTGCTGTATTCGCTCGCATCAAGCGCACATATATTACGGTTTATGTATCCATAAAAAAAGCAGTTACCAATATCTTAACTTAATTTTAGCATTTCTGCATATATTTATTCATACAAGATCAAAATGGGTAAACCAGACTTGGACAAACGTGTTCTCTCTATACAAAGTCACGTCGTACACGGTTATGTTGGGAATAAAAGTGCAGCATTTCCATTACAGGTAAAATATATGATCAATATTTAGTACATAGCATTTTGCATGTATAGTACATAGGTGTAGGCATAATAACACAATTCATCATTGCTGAGTAAACTATTATAAATTTACAGGTATTGGGTTTTGAAGTTGACGCCATAAATTCTGTGCAGTTATCAAATCACACTGGTTACAAAGCCATTAAAGGGCAAATACTGCAAGAAAAGGAACTTGGTACACAATAATTATCCCTTAAAAAGTTCAATGTTAAATTTATATATGTATTTTTTTAGTTGAACTCTTTGAAGGATTAGAGGTCAATAACTTGCTACAATTTTACTCTCATTTACTAACGGGTTATACGGGTAATGGGTCATTTCTAAAACGAATTTCCTTTATTGTAAAAAAGCTAAGGGAAATCAACCCCCGTTTAATATATGGTAAGCTATATCTAAATATCAGCAAACTGTCTTATTGAAAGCATGTTTAAATTAAATTTAACACGTATCTTACTAAATGTAGTTTGTGATCCTGTCATGGGCGATAACGGCAAAATGTATGTACCTGAAGATTTACTGCCAATTTATCGCGATGAAATTATACCCCTTGCCGATATAATAACTCCAAACCAATATGAAGTAGAATTACTAACGGAAAAAAAGATTACTAACGAGGACGATGTTTGGTCGGCGGTTCAATGGTTCCATGACCGTGGTATCGAAACCGTGGTGATTTCTAGCAGTGAGCTGGGCAGAGAAAACGAGTTACGCGCTTTTTTAAGCAAGAAAAATGGCAATCGCTACATAATAAATATTCCACGACAAGGAACCGGTATATCATTTACAGGTAATTASAGTTAAAAGTGTTAAAATATGGTAAATTATGCAAAAATATAACTGAAAATCGCAAAAATTAATTCTTGCGACAATTTTAGGTACTGGTGACCTCTTCGCTTCGCTTTTCCTAGCACACAGTCACTCCACGAATGATTTGGGTGTCGCTTTTGAAAAGACGATAGCCTCATTGCAAGCTGTAATAAAACGCACACTTGAATCGATGCCCGAGGAAGTTTTGTCCGGCAAACGTAAAGTAACTGCACAAGAGTGTGAACTTAAATTGATACAAAGTAAAAAAGTTATTGAAAGCCCACTGGTAGTGCTAAAGGCACAAMAAATTGAATAACCGTAAAGTCGTTTTTATTTTACCGGTTTGTTGACACAGAGAACAAAGGCAATCAATCCCTATAGTGTTTAAGTGACATTTTGAGTCTACACATTCTATTTAAAAACGTATGATAATTATATGTACGTATGTATGCATGCTTGTTATTTGGCTGTACTTCGCATTGTTATATTATAATATTTAGAGGACAATAATAAATGTAAAATATTATATGCAGAAAATGAGAATTCCATTGAAAAGCATTCAACCCAAATGMTCACGCAAAACGTTTATGTTGTCACTCTAATGTACACAAGCAATTGCAACGACAATAAGTTTGTATATAAAAGCTGAACGTTGTGTAAATAGATGAGAAAATTTCTAGAAGTGAACGAGTGACTAAGATGATCCGTTTAATTTCATTAATACTTTACTTGTGTGCTTTGCTAACAACCGCCTTGACTCAAGTTGTTGGTGTTGAAAATGTGTCGCCAGCCGAAGCCTCCATTTTGCCGTATTCGCTTAAAGCACCTATTGGGAATGATAATGGTGGCCGATATAAACTCATGGCGGTTAATCCCTCAAACAGCAATCAAGGAGTTGAAAACGAGCTTATTGAACAGCACAATATCAATAGTCCACAAATTCGTCGAAATGAAGATACTTGGGACCGTATAACAGTTAATTACAAAAATCAATTAGCTGAATCAAAATCGCCTGTAAATGAATTCGGTTACTTTAACCCGTATGCCGTTGCACCACATACGTTGCATTCTGATATGAACCATTTCGGTGTTGGCACTGTTGCGGCGTCTCTACCAATTTCACTGCTGTTGGCACTTAATCTTGGTATGCTGTTATATTTATGCGTTAATACTGTGTCGGTGTTGTCGGCCACTGCGTTGGGTGCGAATTTTCGACTACCTTATAATAAGCACGATTACCACAGACGTGATGAATTTAGCAATAAGTATAATTAACGCGAATATCACACACGAGATAGATAATATCAATGTACATGTATAATTAAAGCTAAATTTATTTGCAACTGGAGTATAGCACAGAAATATATGTACATGTAAATGTCGTATTTTCACAAATACAATTTTATCTTCGACTTGTGTTTTCAGTTGGAAATTTTCACACCAATAAGCTGCTTGTTTTGTGTTGTTGTAGTTGTTCCAACATTTCAGTTTAAAATCTTAGATTTAAATATATTGATATAAATACAATGTATCTGAATGATATATGTGTATATGTATGCATGTATGTGTATATATGATTACTTGCAATATAGAGGATGTAAACTATAATACATAGATTTGGACTGAAAGTCAAGTGTAAACTAAACTATTTCTTAACTCTAAAAGAGGCAGCGCGGTTTATTCGAACGATAGGATCATTGCTATTAGCATTTACTGTGCGCACTGCTTGTCGTTTCACAATATTCGCTGTTGTCGCAAGCGCTGGAAAATATATAAAATTTAGTTAAGATTCCCCTAAAGTATATAATTTTAATACTTACATTTAACCATTATACTACGCGGACTTTTACGTACGCGACCCGGACTGAATTTTTTATTTTCCTTTTGTACGCCAGCCGCTACAGTCTTTAAAAGCCCATGATGATTAAATGTCTTTGATTTCAACAATACTGCAATAAAAAATTGTTAGGTCAACTTATTTAAAATTAAGTTTATTGCAATAAATAACCACCATTCTTCATTCGATCCTTGTTGTTCGTTGGCACTTTAGCTATTTGCTCCGATAGTATATTACTGACAAAATTCTTTTTTCTCATTAAGCTGTTGGTTTCTTTGCTCTCTATTACTGACTTTTTCGCACTCACATCAGTACTCGTACTGTACTCATCATCTGTGACACACGACAACACATGTGTTTCATCCATAACCGTATGTTTGATTGTAGGCTTTTTGAAATTACTAATGCAGTCATCAGAATCCGTGTCCTCCATAATATCTAAGTCAAAGTCATTCGTCAACTCTGATCGTTGCAAACGAGGTCTTTTTACAGTGCTTGTAGATGTGGGTCCATCGGCGTTAGCAATTCTATGTAACAGTTTTCCATTTGTTATCTTTAGTGTTGGAACTTCCAAATCTTCATCGCTATCCTTTTTATTATCCTCTTGACCAAAATATGCATGTGTTTTTATAAAATGTTGTAATTGTTTGTATTTATCTTGCATATTTGAACTGAGATCATCATACGACTTATGTAGTAATTCGCATGCCATTCCAAAGGCTTTGCGCAGCTTATCTGAATCCCGCAAAAATTCAGCATTTATGCCGGATATGTGGTTGATGGTAATATCTTGTTTTGAATGACGCACTTCCAAGTCTTTCCCTTTTTGATATTTTTTCAAAATTTCAACATATTTAGATTCTTTAATTTCCTTCTTCATCTTTTCTAGATCCTTATTTGCATCGTGTAACTTTCGGCGCCAGCGCGTAGATTCCTCTTCAAGCCTGGCGATTTCTTTATTGTAACCAGAGGTGGACACAGTAAGCATCTTAAGGAGTAATACAAGATAATGAAAAAATAATTATTGTAGTCATTTAAAAAAATGTAAGTGATGATTTTATTATATATGTAAATAAATAACTAATTAAAAAAAAAAAATAGGATTTTAATAATCCGTACGTAAGAATACATACACACATACGCAAAAAAGTTATTTTTTAATTAAAGACAATTATGGAGTTCTTCATTTTTCTTTAGATGTCCATAAGTATATATATAGCTTTAAAACATRAGAGATAAAAAAGAGAATTGCCAAAAACGTTGCTAACAGCTGATAGGCTGTTGAAACGTCAAATTCATAATCGCTTTATAAAGCAATAAGAGTATCAGTTCTAAATATTTTTATCTATAAAATCAAACGCATTATTTTAAAGATGTACACAAGAAGAGTTTTCTCGATTTTACGGAATTTGTCAACGCGTGACTTGCATTTAGTAAATTTAAATTTTTTTCCAATCTCCCCAGGCACAAGCAGTGCGCTTAAAACCTTTTCTTTGAGTAGGGTACCACAAACACAGTCAACCTTTATAAATACTTTACAGATACGAGGTTATGCAAAGAGCAAAGATAAGAAAAAGGAGAAAGGTAAAAAGACGGGGAAAGTTGAAATTAATGAAGCACAGCTTCGCGAAGTTATAAATTTTGATGCCGTAAACGATCATATGCAGAAAGCAGTGCAACAGATGCGAGACGATTTTGTAAAACATTTGTCACTGCGTTCAACATCAGGCGCTATAGAAARTCTACGTGTGCATATCGACGGTGCTGAACATGAGTTACAAGAACTTGCACAAATTTCAAGAAAAAATCCTAAAACAATTGTTGTTAATATGATTGCTTTCCCTCAAACTATACCAGATGTCCTAAAAGCAATTGCAAGTAGTGGYATGAATCTCAATCCACAACAGGATGGAACTACTATATTTATTCCTATACCGAAAGTCACAAAGGAACATCGTGAAAACCTATCAAAAAATGCAAAAACTCTTTTCATCAAGTATCGCGATTTAATTCGAGACATACAAAATAATACYATAAAAAAATTAAAGAAACAAAGTGATATATCTAAAGATGATATTTTCGCTATTCAAACACAAGTAACCGCTATAGCTGACAAGTACATAGCTGAAGCTGACAAATTACTTGCAACGAAACAAAAAGAGCTAATTGGCGAATCATAATAGGTAAATTATGAAGCTTAGAGCATTAAGACTGAATTGTTTCGGTAATAAAGATAACTAAAAGTTGCCACATAAAAATTTTGTTTTTTGTGTTTCTATTTAACATTATAAATATTAGTGATTTTTTACTGGAATTATTATAAATTCGGCTCGCTAATGTTTTTAATCGAATTGAATCTTATTATTTTAAATGCACTTACCTCCTCTGATTTGATGAAATTCCGCTCAAGCAGCGTATTGTAAGCTATATTTTCCTTCTTCAATTTCTCACGAAAGTTCATGCTCTTGATTTTGCTTTGATTGACAATAACATATTCTTGTGTTTTAATAAAAGTTGAATACACTTCATCGATCTTGCTATACCAGGCTYTCAATTCACTTTCATTATAAGATGGGGTGACTTCCGAAGATTTYTCAAGTTGAGTCACTTTAGCTTTAAGACGTTCGTTTTCAGCCATRAGTTCTGTAACTTTTTTTATATAAAAATCTTTAGGCATGTTGGATTTGAGCACATTTTGCCTAAGTGTTGTTCGAATCTTCTTCGCTCGACTTGCATACTAAAATATATTAAAAACATTTCATCATTAATAAATAAAAAATATTATATTTAAAAGCAAATGTACGTACTTTTAAAGTGTTATAGGTGTCCTCGTATGTCAACGAACTCATTGAAACATTTGCTACCATTAATGTCTGGCAATTACCTCCAAGGGAGTCCTTCAGTATACGTGTTAAGTTTGAATCCCGGTAAGGAATATGTTTCATTCCATCGGCCAATTTGTTGATGCAATTTCCCAATGCTAGTAAACTTTTATTTATGCTAGCACCTTCTTTAAAACGGACTCCTATTCCTTTTGTACTGGCAGCTCGTTCACTGCCAGCCAAATCAATCATAGATAATTTCACTGTGCGTTTTGTCCCAGTTTTGCGATCTGTTATTCGAATATGAACTTGAAAAATAGCATGAGAACGTGAACTCTCTGCATTGGCATCAGTTGGGTGTTGTGTGCGATTTGAGTTTCCTTGTGAAAGTAGTTGTAAAAGTTCATCGGCACTATAAATTGGTTTTAAAACGAGCCCACTAACAACTACACCATTCGAGTCCTCTTGCAGCTTTAAAGGTCCAGTTTTTGTCAAAAGGTTCATTACTAATTCATTATAGACTTCTAAATAGCTTACGCCTACATCAAATTTATGAGTAGTGCTTTGAACTTGTATTTTTTCAAATAGTTCACGCATAGTAAGAAAAGTTAGACCAGGGCATGTTTCACTGCCAAGCATAGTAAATGTCTTCCCTGCTCCAGTGGCACCATAAACAAACACGGAACAGTTGTATCTAATAATGCATTTAATATTAATACATGTTTCATAAGGATAATGTACAGTTGTCGCAGCTTACCCGTTCAACACTGAAGCAACCAAAGGTGATGTGCATTCTTCAAAAATTTGCTGATTKGTTGCTTCTGGATCATATACTTTATCAAAATCCATACTGATTTTTTTATTGACACGTTTTGTAATATCCCGATAGTTCTGTTTTGTCCCTTGAAAAAAGAACTCATCATCCTCTTCATCGGGATCAAAGAGCAGAGTGGTGTTGTCCAATACCTTGACAATTTGGCGCTGGTTCTGTTCCAACTCCCTTCGATTGTAGGGCCGCACCCTTACCACAACTTTAATGTTTGTTTGTTCTGTTGACATTTCGTATTTTTTGTAATGTAGGCTTTGTAAATATTTTTAAAATCAAGCTAAAACTAAATTTTCGTACAGCGTCTTGTTTATGATGGATAAAATTGTTTTTGCTGCCAGTTTGAATATTCAACTGTTTGAAATCATTTTTAGGTTGGTAGCATTGCTTATCCAATTGACAACAATGTGGCCATATTTAATTTTTTACATAGAAATTGAAAGTTTGAAATTCGAGGTTTTCTTAAGTGTCGGATTTCGATTATAATTGAATTATACATTATTAATCATTTATGAACCTTTGTAATAAAAAATATGATCCTTATGGTCTCCAGCATAAAAAAGATAAAAGTAGCTCAAAGCGCATAACATTAATTTTATTGTTTTATTTTACTGTAAGGGAAATGCTTTAACAAATCTCCTTAAATAATTGAATTGCAAAATTGTAATTTTGAAATATTACTGCTAACTTTAATCAATAGATATTATAATAAATGTAAAAATTATTAAAAATTCGTAACAGAAATTTAAAAATTTGTTTTATGCAACTCTGCGTGTTATGTCGTTTCATCGAAACTGTACGCCATTTTCATTTTCCATGAATCGCATTGACAGGAATTTGGCGATTTGCGTCCTTTTGCAAAATTATAATTATTTTAGTAAACTTGTTGAAATCTAAGCCGGCAAATAAATTATAATAAATAAGCTATTTCAGCTGAAAATTTTTAAATAGTGCTAAATTATGAGTTCTGTGTTATTTGCTTGCTCAAAATGTTTCTCCAGACATCCATTTGAGGAATTGTCTGCAGGTCAACAGCTATGCAAGGTGATCAAATTTATTTATGGTGGCACACAATAAGAAATTGAAACTCTGAAAATTATGTGTATATAATGACGTARATAAACATTTTGTGGAACTGTGACGCCAATTTACCGAATCTGTATAATATTGCTAAAGCAAATGCGCATTTGCAAATAGCATAGTGAAAGTAGCAACAGTGCTTTTTATTGAGTGAAAGGTTTTCCAATTTTTAATATTTGACAAATAACTTTGTTTTTCAGAATTGCCGAGGAAATAGCTCCGTTGTTAAATGTACTTATTGTCGCACTGAATTCCAACCAACAAGGTAAGTACTACAATAAATGTAATATACATATAAAATTCTTACAAAGAAACATGAAAAATGTTTTCACTTGCAGCAAGAATCAGACAGCCTGTAAAAAATGTGAGCATTGTCTTAACAAGTATGGCAAACCTAATGCCTGTGAATGTTGCAAGATTGTAGCGGCGTTCGGAAACTCAAAATGTATAAGGTCGGTATACATGAGACTTATATTTATATGTAGTATCTAGTTTGGAATATAAAACGGATTCATAATTTCAAATGGATGCACAATAAAAAATATGATACGGGTTTGGAAAATAGTATATAAAGAGTAAATTTTATATTAATTTTAACGTAGTAGATTATCAAGTTGAATAAAAAAAAAAACTACTTTGATTAAAGCATTGTCCCACACATTTTTTATATTGTGCTTTCGTATTTTTGTATAGAAATTGTTAAGCTCTTAATTCTTTGTTAAACCAAAGATTGTAGTCTCTTATGTAGATTATTAAAAACAATCCCTTTACAAATGCAACGTTTATGAACGCAAACATTTCTTCTTCTTTTTTTTCTCCTGCAACATATATCCATAAATACTCCTGTACCTTGCCTGTAAATGCAATGATTGATAGATGTGCAACCTACGAAGCGAAATATGGTCCACCGATACAATGTGATGAATGCAAACAGCGATGTGCTTTCGATAAACGTGACGAGAACAAAAAGGTTAGAAAAGGAATAACACCCCATATTCGCGAAATTCCGCGGTGAAATCTAAATTGTATATTGGAATATCAAAAAAATTGATTTCATGAATTTAAGAAATAATATGTTCAGGAACGTTGCGTATAAGAAATTCCCGAAATGTATGCGTTCATAGACTTAAATACATTTACACTATACTCACTCATATAAAATTATTGATAATATCTAATTAGACCAACTTTTTTTTTAACCGCAGGTGAATGGTAAATTGCTTTGTTGGCTGTGTACCAGTTCATTTAAGCGCGCTCTACTTAAGGCTCAACAAGAAGGACGAATATCGGCTAAAAAACGACAACATGAAAAATCTCATCGCGAGAGTTCAACATCGGGCAAAAAATCGTCTCGACCTTCAGCTGATATCAAAAGTAGTGGCGCCGTTGGTGGGAGTGGAAGCAGTAATGCTATTACATCTTCAAGCAGTGATATGCCTGAAAAAATAAGTCGTACAGGATCGGGCGGAAGTGGTGGTAGTGGCAGTGGTAACGGCTCTGGAATGGGATTAACTTCTATTGCAGCACCAGCAGTTATAACAATTGATCCCAATTCAGCGGATCATGTCGTGGCGATGACAAATTTAAAAGAACGTATCGCCAGTTTGGAAAAACGTCTACAACAAAAAGATAAAGAATTATTGGAAAAAGATAAATTAGTAAGCATTTGAGAGTGGGATCTCATAGAAAAATAGTTATTGTTGTATATTTATTTCAGTTGACAGAGCTGAAAGGCAAGAACTTCGAAAAGGAAATCGAAATGCGCAACAAGTTGAAGGAAGTTGATAGGTTACACGATATGAAAGTAGAGAATCTTAATCGTAAAGTKAGTAGTCTCTTAAAAGAATTAGCTGCGGTTAAAAAGAGCTCAAAAAAGAATGGAACAAGTGGCGGTGCAAACGCTAAGGAGCGTCAAGGTGAACGCGAAAAACGGGAAAATCTTTCACCTAAAGAGGAGATTGTTGAGGAGGAGCAATCACGTGAAAAGGAAGTAAAAGAGGAAAAGATAGATAAAGACGAACTTAAAAGTGACGAAGAACAGGAAACCGAAGAAAAGAGGAGTGTGGGTTCTGGTTCTAATAGCCCGGTAACAAATTGATGATCGTCGCAGTAGAATGTGTTAGTTAAATTGTATAACAAAATTTTACGAGTGTATGCAACGCTTTCACATCAATATTCCACTTAATCAAGATGTATAAATTTTATACTAAATGTTTACTTTGTGAACCATTATGTTAAATTATGTTTTCAATCATTATTTACATAATTATAAAATGAGCTGTTGTACCGTTTTTCATTAAAAATAAAAAAATGTAAGAAAACTTAGTATCAATTATAAGAGTGTGTACATTAAGAATGGATGTCTATTTTTTTAATTTCCACACTTAACAAAGGTTTTTGTAAGACTTTGTATTATTTTAAGTTGCTTAATGCACACTAAATCAATTGTCACTTTGTAGTTTCGAGTAAGAATGATGTAAATTAAGGCTTTATTATAAGCTTTAGTTGTATGTGCATTGCAAATGTTATTTTGACTATTTAACACTTTATTTAATTAAAATTGAAGTTTTTAATTATTATGTTATGATTTCTGCAACGGCACTAAGAATATAGCTTATTTAAGTGAAGTGGAAAATCTTTAATTTGAATAAAAAAACACATAAAAAGCACACTGCTGTTTATGGTTATTTACATATTTTTTTTATTTTTTAAATCATATTCGTAGGGGAATAACAACGATTAATTATTTGTCTTACACGTGCTAGGTGAAAGTAAGAACTAAATATTAGATATTCAGCGCATGAATGCTCTATGTCTATCAGGTAATCACATGGAAAATAGCATCGTTTTGAACAGTATGCTTCAATTGATCACTTGTTCAATGTGGCTTGGGTTTGTGGCCATCCACATAGAAATTTCGTGTTGCGCTGGGCAACTGCAATTCTAAACCATCCAATTCCTTTGTTAATACTATTTGACAACCTAGACGTGAATTTTCTCGTAAGAAGGGCGCCATATCCAATAAGTCGTCTTCTTTTTCATCCGCTTCCGGTAATTGATCGAAATGATTTCCAATTACGTACACATGACAAGTTGTGCAGGCCAGTGATGCTTCACAAGCGCCTGTAAATTAAAATTGTAATACAATAAAACTATTTTTATTTCGTCGCCAGAAACCTTCCATTTCGATTCCATAACGATGTGCTAAGTAGAGAACATTATCACCAACTTTTCCTTTGACTTCAGTGCGTTTACCATCTTTGTCGATGTACGTAACACGAACACTGAAATTATTACAAATTTTTAATTCATTGTACAAAGTGATTGTGTTAAATTGTCAGTATGAGTTCAAGCGAATACTTTGTAGTTTTAAGCATTAATAAAGTTTGATAACGAAAGTAGGTGAAATCGCACTGAGAAATAGGTGTTTTCGGTAAACTTTTGCGTACATTTCGTCGTCTGATTTGGGATCTTGCCATTCATATTCACCATGGAGAAGTGCTAGAACAATAGAATAGAAAATTATATACCATTTTAATGTAATAAGAAATTCACTCTTTACTATTGGTTGTATGCATCCACCTTGATGACGGCAACGGTCGAATGGGTGGGTAATTATGTGAAATATTCCTAAATTGCCGCAACATTAAACGGATCATTTTAATTATTTTTGAGGTTATTATAAAACAGCTGATATTTGTTTTTGCRCCATCTACGAATTACGAAATACCGAACATTAATATCGAAAAATCGAAGCCGCTTACATATTTGTCAAATAAATATGCAGTTTTCTTTTACATTGTTTTTCGTAAACAATTGGCATAATTACAAACAAGTTGAGTATAATTTCCGGACGAATATTAATTATTTGTTATTTAAGTGAGTAAATATTACGATATAATGTATTGACATGCACTCAGTATAGACTGCTTAGTAATTAAAATATTGCGAAAAATTATATGATTTATRATAGCTACTCATTTATATACTCCTTTTTTAGTAAATCCCAAACTTATTATTCGTACTCGTACTCGTTTATGGTGGACAGCAGCAAATGACAATGGACAAAATAAATAGTGATATATTAAAAGTTATAAATTCTTTGGAAAGCTCTAAAAAACAATGTCTCCATTGTAAGGATGGCATTGCAGCTATAACAAGTACTATTCGCAATACTCTGTTGGAAATTAATGACATTCAGGAGCGAAATCAGGAACGTCGCCATGGAGAGCTTGTGGCTTTATTTGAAAAGTATTTCAAAAATGATCAGATTAAAGCTTTTGTAACATCAGCAAATGTAAGCTTCGAAAATTCAGAAGATTCTTCCAATTCGTTAGACAGCAAACATTTCGTAAAAGATGTGAAACAGCTACAAGTTGAAAAGCATRCTGAAAAAATTGCTGTTTCGAAGACACAGGAAACAAAGCAATCCGTGAAAGTACGAAAGCGTCGTGTAAGTTTAACAGAAAACATTATACAACCAATACCTTCAAAAAATTCCACGGGGGAAATCAACAGTTTAAAAGTAGAGCCCATATCATGTACTAGTCCAACAGAAAAGGTAAATGTGAAAGCAAATCAAAGAGATGAACTTATTGCAATGCGTGAAAAAATGCTTGTCATTCAGCGCCGAAAAATGGAGGATCGAGAACGTAGAAAACGGGACAATAGTGCTATGTAGAGCATTAAATCAACGTTATATTTTCTATATTTATATTTATAAATAAAGGTACAAATATATTATTTTATTAAATTAATTTTAACTTTTAAAACATTGTTACCCGTATAACGATCTTCTGAAATTGACCGACCACGAAAATTAGATTAGTTTGGGGAGTTCGTGAATGTTGTTCAGTTTTTACTTAATCTCGACAGTAACTTAGCTGCCAAAATAAAAAATGCTTAATTTGTACTACTATTGTAGACATATATACTAATAACTATATTTCTGTTGCAAATACATTGGAAAACTTTTTACATATGTATTAAACAGCTGAACTGTAAATAATTAACAAAACCATAATTAATAAAACCTGCTGTAACCGGAAAGGCTAATTTATAATATATGGTTGTGGCAGATTTCTTTGATTCAAATCCTCATTATCCTTATGTCGATATTTATGTCATTCGCCATATTGTGTACATAAACGTAGCCAACGTTCGCGGGATTCAGTGTTCTGCGAGTTTTTAAATGGTTTTCCATTCCACATTGAACATCGAGCTTCAAGAAATTTTTAAGAAAATTTACAAAAATTACTTCAAATTGCTTTACAAAATCTATGGGAATAAGGAATTTTTGACAGTAATTTGCCGCTATCGGTTTTATTTAGGGACGGCAGTAAGTTTGTTGCGGCGACGTTTGTTTTTTCTATCGAATTTAATAATAAGTTCATCAAAACAAATTCTTTGTTTACGTCAAAGTAAGCAATTGTTACATTGTGTATAATATAATAAAAATCGTTAATATCGCACACAGATCGTATTTTATCTGCCGTCTCTATTATATACGTTCTTTGCTTTACTTTTAATATCAGCTGTTATTTTTAATACATAGTGGTTGTCAGGAATTGTTTATTTTTTTTTAATATACCACGTATTAACAATATTTAACCGAAATAGCGGTTTGGCAATAAAAATATATTCCAGAAAAGCATGCAATGCATTTGTTTAATTAAAGTTAGTTATTCTCCGTAAGGAAATCAACAAAAATTTAGCCAACCTACAGGAAGACGCTGGATGCCAAATTCGGTAAGATGTTGAGTAAATTTTTAACATTACATCAATAGGTACTGAAATATTCATACATTTGCATAAATATATTTGATTTTGAAGACAATTCAATCCGATAAGATTACAAAGTGTAGTTAATTTAAGTATTGCATACGATTTAACGCGTAGCTAATTGCGTGCATTCAAATAAATAATTTTTGGTGTTTTTTTTTTTTGAACTATTTACTATATCTTAAATAGACAGTAAGACATCTGATGAATTTTGGAAACCTGTTAAATATCTCAGCACACATATACCTACATGGTATCTAAGTATTCATATGTATTAAATGGTGCTGAACAAAACACTTGTAAACATAAACACAAATGAAGATGGTCCTATCACGTTTTGGAAAGTAATAACACAAAAGCGCGCATAAGATTGATAACCGAATTTATTATTGTAGATAAAAAAATGCTATTTAATTTCCAGTAGCTGCAAACCTTTTTATTTACTTTCTYCTAATTTTGAAGATATTTTCTACCTATTAATTTTTCACTAGTGCTAAAATCCATTTACTCTGYAATATATGTAATTTTCTTGGATCAAACAATACTTAATTCTGCATTAAATTTAACAACCTCTCGGTTTGATTTACTGCTTAGCCTGATATTCAGCTAGTATGTAAAGAGCCCATACGTATCAGCAATTTTCAATTACTTCCGGATGTTCCTTATCTTATTTGCCTCGGTAAATGAGCGTTCTTAGGCATTTGCTTAGTTGGCATTTGTTCTTCTTTTTGCTTTGTTGGTCGTTAAGTTTTATCAGAAGTTTAATGTTCAACGCTTTCTGTAAAAACTTTTGCCAACTTATTTRTACTATATTCTTCTGAAGGTTTATATCTATATATGTATGTTTATGTTATTATAGTTTTATTAATCATTGCCATATTGTAAAACCAACTGTGTTATCAAATGAACTGTATGTATGTACATATGTATTTATTTGCCAATATTGTGTGTGCTACCAAGCCCGTCATTCGTTTTGAAACACCTTTTTTTAATTTACGTTTAGATAAAGTGGCATAGTTGTGTCTTTAACGTGTTGGTGTCTGGACCGCAGCAATAGGCAGAAACTGAAGCAATACTAGGTGTGCATTTATATATTTAGTAACACAAAAATGCGTCGTCGAAATGTGAAATGGATTTTAAAAGCAGCTATACTGTTGATCTTATCATTCATTTTATTTCTTTTGATCACGAGTTGGATATCTTCAAGCCCCTATAGAAATAAATTGCCCATTTTGACGCCAAACCGTGCCGAAAATTTGCGTGCGCATAAAAAAAATCCTGAAAACGTGGGCAATGGCGCAGAAAGCGAAGTTGAATCACCAAAACTGCCACGATTGAATAATGATATGCATAGGGAAAACAGTCAATTGTTGATGCCAAATAATCTCAAAAAAGATTGGCATGATATTTTGGCTATGGAACGCGATCAGAAACGAGTTGGACTCGGTGAAGGAGGCGTAAGAGCTGCACTAAACGATGAATCGCAAAAGGATTTGGAGCAGAAGATGTCTTTAGAAAATGGTTTCAATGCGTTACTTTCCGATTCCATCTCTGTAAATCGTTCATTACCTGATATTCGTTATGAAGGGTGAGTTAGGATTGACATTCATGCAATATTAATTATAGTATTATATATATTTTTTCTAATTTCGTGTAGATGTAAAAATAAGAAATATCTTGCCAAACTCCCTTCAGTGAGCATCATAATTCCATTCTACAACGAGCATTTGGGTGTACTTATGCGTTCTGTGCATAGTCTTGTAAATCGTTCGCCGCCAGAGTTGTTAAAGGAAATCATTCTAGTGGATGATTTCAGTGATCGTGAGTACTTATTCGAACAACTCGAACAATATGTAGCCGAAAACTTTCCCAAGGTACAAATCGTACGTTTGAAAGAACGTACCGGACTGATTGGTGCGCGCATGGCGGGTGCACGTCACGCTACAGCGGATGTACTTATCTTTTTGGACTCGCACATTGAGGCAAACTATAATTGGCTGCCACCGTTGTTGGAGCCGATCGCAAAAAACAAGAGAATCTCGGTTTGCCCCTTTATCGATGTTATTGATCATAGTAATTTTGAGTACAGAGCTCAAGATGAAGGTGCACGTGGCGCTTTCGATTGGGAATTTTATTACAAACGTTTACCATTGTTACCGGAAGATTTGGAGGATAGAACTAAACCATTTAGGAGTCCSGTTATGGCTGGTGGTCTGTTTGCTATATCAAGTGAATTTTTTTGGGAGTTAGGCGGTTATGATGAAGGTCTCGATATCTGGGGTGGCGAACAATATGAGTTGAGTTTCAAGATTTGGATGTGTGGTGGTGAACTTTTGGATGCGCCCTGTTCACGTGTTGGTCACATATACAGAGGTCCACGTACTTCACAACCCAGTCCACGAAAAAGTGATTATTTGCACAGAGTAAGTACATACAAATATTATGAAATTGTCAAACTTAAGTTATTATCTTTAAGACATTTTTAAAACAATTTCCTCTTTTTTTTTTTTTAATTGCAGAACTATAAACGTGTCGCTGAGGTATGGATGGACGAATATAAAACATATTTATATGATCATGGTCAAGGTGTATATGAAAATATTGATCCCGGTGATTTAAGCCAACAGAAAGCGATACGTGAAAAACTCAAATGCAAGTCCTTCAAATGGTTCATGGAGAATGTGGCATTTGATTTACCTAAAAAATATCCACCTGTTGAGCCGCCCGATTACGCTTTTGGCGCTATACAAAGTGTGGCTGAACCAACGCTTTGTGTTGATACAATGGGTAAACCGCGCCATTCAAAAATCGGTCTCTATCCCTGTGCACCGAATCTGAAGAAACCGCAAAGAAATCAAAATTGGGCTTTAAGCTGGCACAAAGATTTGCGTTTACGCTTCAAAACCGACTGTTTAGATGTGCAACAGCAACCGCCGAATGCACCCGTATGGCTTTGGGATTGTCACGGTATGGGTGGAAATCAGTTTTGGTATTATGATCGCGCTGAAAAATGGCTGATTGCTGGTAAGGGCAGTGAACGTTGCTTACAGGCTGCGCCGAGTAAACGCGCTATTTATATTAACCGTTGCGATTCGGATGACCCCTATATGAAATGGAATTTCGGTAACGTGAATAACACAGCGTTAGACTTGTTTTTGGTACAAGCGCCGAATAATGCATAGTCACTATCAAAATCATAATCTTGCCATTTTTGGATCTAGAGTAGATATAAACCGTATTTAGAAATATATCTAATATCTTGTTTGTAAAACAGTCATAGTTTAAGTAAACAGTGGACAGACGGGTTAATGTATTTTTTTTTTGTTTTTTGAAGTCTGCGTTCCTATCACACTCTTTATACAATTTTTATTGTACTGTTGATATAACTTAAAAAAACATTTTTTAATGTACTTCCATTTAATAATTTCTATTTAATCGTAATTATAATTCTTAAAATAAGCTGCCCTTGCCAATTCAATTTTGTAAAATACGAAAGAAAAGTATTCATTTATATATGCACAATATTAGTTAGCTCAGAAAASCTTAAACATTTTAGAAATCATATCAAAATTATGCACACGAAAGATTCAAAGAAGAATGCGCTCATCTTTTTAAATGCGTGACAATATAAAGACTATTTATACCTTTGCGTAGATATATTATAGTAAGACCTGTGTTTTTAAGGTTAGAAACTGAAGTGTTTTTGTAAATAAGTATATTTGTAATAAATGATGGAAAAATATTAGAACTTTCTTACATGTATATGTATGTATATATTGATAAAGAAAGGGAAAATAACTTAAAATAAATAAAATGGTTCATCATTCCAAAAGAAAACATTATTTTTATACTCTCGCAACAAAGTTGCTAAAGAGAGTATTATAGTTTTGTTCACATAACGGTTGTTTGTAAGTCCTGAAACTAAAAGAGTCAGATATAGGGTTATATATACCAAGGTGATCAGGGTGACGAGTAGAGTTAAAATCCGGATGTCTATCTGTCCGTCCGTCCGTGCAAGCTGTAACTTGAGTAAAAATTGGAATATCATGATGAAACTTGGTACACGTATTTCTTGGCTCCAAGAGAAGGTTAAGTTCGAARATGGGCAAAATCGGCCCACTGCCACGCCCACAAAATGGCGGAAACCGAAAACGTATAAAGTGTCATAACTAAGCCATAAATAAAGATATTAAAATGAAATTTGGCACAAAGGWTCGCWTTAGGRAGGGGCATWTTTGGACGTGGCCCCGCCCCCTACTAACTTTTTGGACATATCTCGAAAACTACTATACCTATRTSAACCAAACTGTATASAGTCGTTTCTTTTASRCATTTCCATATACWKTTCAAAAATGGAAGAARTCGGATAATAACCACGCCCACCTCCCATACAAAGGTTATGCTGAAAATCACTAGCAGTGCGTTAACCGACTAACAAAAAACGTCAGAAACATTAAATTTTACGGAAGAAATGTCAGTAGGAAGCTGCATCCAGGCTTTTTTT